TGGCTCAGTGGTAGAGCCCCTGCCTAGAATCCCCCAGTGAGGGGCTGGGGTGTGGCTCAGTGGTAGAGCCCCTGCCTAGAATCCCCCAGTGAGGGTCTGGGGGTGCGGCTCAGGAGTAAGGGCACCTGCATAACATATGGGAAGCCCTGGGTTCCAGCCCTATCACAGAGGGGAGGCAGGAGCCTGAGTACTCTTTAGAAGAATTGTTACATAGACAGATGTGAGCTTCCTGCTGGTTGCTGCTTCCAGGCTGGATGACCTTTTCAAGCCCCAGTTCTTCCATGTGTAAAATGGAGACATTTAGTCCACCCTGTAGGGTCCCCTGGGACAATTCCAGTAAAAGATCTGACACCTCTCTGCAGGCCAGGTCACAGGGTCAGTGCCTGTCCCCACAGGCCACATCTGGCAGGGTTTGCATGTGCCTCAGCCCAGGCTCCGGTTTTACTTTGCTTATTTAGTCAGCTCTGGTTGGCCTGGAATTCACATCAATTCTCCTGCCTCACTCACCCTCCTGAGCACTGGGATTACACATCCTTGCAAATGTGAATTAGAGCAAGCAGTATGTGGAGCTAGACAGAAAGCACATTAAAGACAGCAAAATGGGCTTGAAAAGGTGTCAGCGAGGGGCTGGTGAGATGGCTCAGTGGGTAAAGGTGATTGCTGCCAAGACTGAAGACCTGAGTTCGATCCCTGACCCACATAGTGGATGAAGAGAACATACACATGTATTGTGGTCCCCCCCCTTACACACACACACACACACACACACACACACACACACACACACACACACACCAAATAAACGCTAAAAGTTGGGGAACCAGGCTCAGTGGCCTTCAGTTGTAATTCCAGCACGAGGAGTCGGAGGCACGAGGATTATGAATTTGAGGCCAGTGAGTTCCAAGTGAACCTGTGGTACACAGGGAGGCCCGGCCCCGTCTCAAATCAGTAATAAATGAAAAATACAAATAACAACAGCCTTACTGCCTCAGGACCTCCAGACCAAGCGTCTAATTCTAAATAAAGGAATAGGTCGGGCGATGGTGGCACACGCCTTAATCCCAGCACTCAGGAGGCAGAGGCAGGTGGATCTCTGTGAGTTCGAGGCCAGCCTGGGCTACAGAGTGAGTTCCGGGACAGCGAGGGCTACACAGAGAAACCCTGTCTCAGAAAACAAACAAACCAACCCACAAAAAAACAAAGAACAGGGTGTTCAGACCCCTGTGTGATGAACAGTGTTTTTTGTTTGTTTGTTTGTTTAATTATTTATTTGTGCCATCTCACAGAGGTGGGGGTCGACTCTCCCTTTCCACCTTTGGTCTCAGTGCAGAACCTGGCCTTGGCAGCAAGCACCTTCACCTGCTGGCCCATCTCCCTGGTCCCTGTTCTGTTTGTTTTTGAGATGGGGGTCTGGCTACATAGCCCTGGCTGGCAAGGAACTCAAGATCTTGGGGTCACCTGCTTAC